AAGTTCTCCCCCACCCACCATATTCTCCAGATATGGCATCACTAGATTACCATGTTTTTCGTTCGCTGCAACACCATCTTAATGGGAAAAGTGTTAAAGAGGACATTGACATGTTTTTTTTTTTGCTTCAAAGTCAAGTGATTTCTTCGATAAGAACGGAGACTATTTCATTTAATAAATATTTTGTTTTGAGAAATAACTTGTTCGGTTTTTTCATCTAAAAAAAAGCGACATAAATTTCTTGACGACCTAATATAAAAGTACAAGAAGTTATACCATGCCCAGTAGTAGCAGTGCTTTTAAGATGGTTCGCAGGGCTGAAATTCCGCATAACGAGCCTTGAGAAATCAAAGCTTGGGCTGGTTTAGGATACTCCATGGTAAACATTACGACACGACCCCATGATTCAGTAGGAGTTGTATGCAAGACTTTAAAAGGGTACTTTAAATGGAATTGTTAATTATAAAAGGGGTAGAAGTAAAACTAAACTCCCAAAAGTGATGTTAAGTATCTAAGAGTATGTTCCTTATAAGTGCAGATCTTGCCAACGACCTGGTTGTAAATACAGGTGTGAATGTTACCCCGAGAACAGTAAGAAAAATATTAGTATAAAGTTGTTTCAATGAACGTATAGCTGTTCGGAAACCGCTACTGAGAAGAGATAACCAAATCGTTAATTTCAAATAGTTATTGAACTACCAGCAGTGGAATGAGCAAAAACAGAGACATTTTGAATCAAAGATTGAATTGTTCAGAAACGACAGTCTGTTCGACGATAAAAAGATGAATGATATCAGAGTCAATGAATAATAACATCTTCAATGGAGCATGGTGCCCAGTCAGTACAAATTTGGAGCTAATTCTTAGCCAACGGTGTTGGTCTTATGCACAAAACTGATGGCACCTTAGCTGCTGACACACACAGGCATACCCTGTTCCATGATGCGACTCATAATGCAGATATTAATCTTCCAGTTATACAATGATCCCAAGCTTACAGCAATGTGATAAAACGATACATGTGGATTGTTAGAGGCTCTCGCGGTCATAACTTGGCCTGCACGAAGTCCAGAATTAAAAATTCTTGAGGCTGTAAGGGCTTATGTAAAAGAGGGTGAGAAGGACAAAAGGCGACTAAATAATTTGGTTAAATTGTAAGGCTGGATAAAGCACACTTGGAACAATATTGTTCAATAACGTACACAGGAACAACAATCTTATTCTGATACACTGTATGACTTCCTGAGAACAGGACGTTATGCTTTGTGTAAGGCACTTATTCCTGTGTATTGGTAATGTTTCGTACCATTAATAAACTCACCACCTACTTTCCACTACTTGTTGTTTGTGACTCCAGTATCGCTTTTTTGTGTTTCCGCCATTATTTGCATTATATATATATACACACACACTGGTTTAATAAGTAGTGGACAATCCATTACCAAACATGTATCTATAAAGAAATATATTTAAAATTAAAAGATAAAACCTATTTAAGTTATTCTATGCCTTGTATTACTTTAGACAGCCTTCCAGATAAGCTGATGACACTTGATAACCAAGATATAAAATGGCATTCTTCACATAGATTAGATCAATCTGTGTGTTGTATTATTGTATACAGACTGACAGATAAGCTGATGTCACTTGATAATCAAGTTATAAAATAGCATTCTTCACATAGATTAGATCAATCTGTGTCTTGTATTATTGTATACAGACCGACAGATAAGCTGATGATACTTGATAATCAAGTTATAAAATAGCATTCTTCACATACTCTGTATACAATAATACAACACACAGATTAATCTAATCCGACAGATAAGTTGATGACACACTTGATAACCAAGATATAAAATAGCATTCTTCACATAGATTAGATTAATCTGTGTCTTGTATTATTGTATACAGACTGACAGATAAGCTGATGTCACTTGATAACCAAGTTATAAAATAGCATTCTTCACATACATTAGATCAATCTGTGTCTTGTATTATTGTACAGACCGACAGATAAGCTGATGCCACTTGATAACCAAGTTATAAAATAGCATTCTTCACATAGATTAGATCAATCTGTGTCTTGTATTATTGTATACAGACCGACAGATAAGTTGATGACACTTGATAACCAAGATATAAAATAGCATTCTTCACATAGATTAGATCAATCTGTGTGTTGTATTATTGTATACAGACTGACAGATAAGCTGATGTCACTTGATAATCAAGTTATAAAATAGACATTCTTCACATAGATTAGATCAATCTGTGTGTGTTGTATTATTGTATACAGACCGACAGATAAGCTGATGCCACTTGATAATCAATACATGACATTTTAGTAAACCTTATTCAGTATTTATTTTGTAGCTTCAAATCCTCTTTTAATGTCTACTACTAAGTTTATTAGATATGTCAACAGTCTTATATGTTGTGTTTTTCTAATCGTTTAGAATTACTTATTAAATGCTGCGTCTTATAAAAAGGACAAATTGCTAACAAAACAAAGTGATTAAATATAAGTTTGATTTATTACACATCAAGTACTAAATACAGAAGTAAATCTTTACTGGTAAAAGCGTGGATTTCTCGTGCTGACGATAATGCAGAAACCAGATACTATATTAAAGCAGTAAAGATACGGTTTGTTTGTTTGTTTCAGACTTTCGTACAAAGCTACACAAGAGCCACCTGGGTTAGCTGTCTCTGATTTTGAGCTGGAAGACTAGAGGGAAGGCAACTAGTCAACAGTGCAACTAGTCAACAGTATCCACCACCAACTGCTGGGCTGCTCTTATTAACTAAAGGGATTTTGCGTTACTATGGTAACGCACCTACGCTCCCAAAGTTTAGAGCGCAATTGTCTTCATGCGGGAACGGGAGATGAACCATGAATCCTCGGATACACAATGTAGCATGATAATCATTAGACTAGACTAGCTTAAAATTGGTAAAAACATTCAGGAGAAAGTCAGGTACATGAACAGTTATTGTTCGTTTACGTGACTCCCCTGGTGTTGAAAAGATAAACTTCATTCCAGTGATACTGTAATGTTCCTGTTATCACTAATGTTTATTTGATCCTTAACGTTAAGCTACTGTCGTCACGGTGTTTATTTGATCCCTAACGTTAAGCTAATGTCGTCAAGGTGTTTATTTGATCCCTAGCGTTAAGCTACTATCGTCAAGATGCTTATTTGATCCCTAACGTTAAGCTACTGTCGTCAAGGTGTTTATTTGATCCCCAACGTTAAGCTAATGCCGTCACGATGTTTATTTGATCCCCAACGTTAAGCTAATATCGTCAAGGTGTTTATTTGATCCCCAACGTTAAGCTAATGTCGTCACGATGTTTATTTGATTACTGACGTTAAGCTAATGTCGTCACGATGTTTACTTGATCCCCAACGTTAAGCTAATATCGTCAAGGTGTTTATTTGATCCCCAAAGTTAAGCAACTATTTTCGCAGCGTAGCAAACCCATTTGTCTGCCACAAAACAGAATGATGAAAATCCTAGTGACAGGTAAACAACTCACCAGTAATACTCAATTTATATTCATAAGAGTTACTTTATTTTTGCGACTTAAGCAAAAACACAAGACATTTGTCAACAACCAGTTTCTAAACAAATAGCATGGTATATACAAGAAAACCAAATAAATGGCTTTTTCAAACTACGAAGTAAAAACTATAGAATATCCCCACGTGGGAGAAACATTTACGTCAGAAATATGCGGGTGTTATGTAAGTAAGCCCATATTTTGATAAACTACTGGTCCCGAAGGAATGTTACTGTTGGAGTTATGATAATTTCCAGTTTTGTTTATTTCAAAATTCTTGTTTATACCGTTGTCATTTTAAGTTGTATTACGTTGTTCACTTGAATTGCAAGAATAGATTCATTTATGATCCCCAGTGGTTTCGTTTCAAAACCGTTTTAACGCTTTGCTTACGAAACGTTTATTTTTTTTTCGTTGTGATATTTCGTATTTAAGAGCACAAAGTTTAAAAAAATGAAAAGACAGTGCAGTGTATTTAAAGTAATTAAAGCCTTTAAGTGAGCTGCCTAGACTCGTCAAGTAAAAGGTTAGGTTTTCTTTACGTCCCTTTTACTTCTTATGCGATATTTCCCACTTTTTGTTCTCGACTTTTTTAGAGTTCGTTGAAAAAAATAGTATTGTGACTATTGTTACAGTTGGTCGATAATCGTCATTAGTCATTTTATACAAATATTATTTCAAATCAATAGTTAGGATGAAATCAACGAATTAAATTATAGACATAGGTCAAATCAATGTCCGTGAAACAATAACTCGTAGTCAGCTCAATCAGTAACTGTTGAACTATATTTTGGAATCAACTCAATGACCGTGGAACAATAACTCGTAGTCAGCTCAATCAATAACTGTTGAACTATATTTTGGAATCAAATCAATGTCCGTGAAACAATAACTCGTAGTCAGCTCAAGAACTGTTGAACTATATTTTGGAATCAACTCAATGACCGTGGAACAATAACTCGTAGTCAGCTCAATCAATAACTGTTGAACAATATTTTGGAATCAAATCAATGACCGTGAAACAATAACTCGTAGTCAGCTCAAGAACTGTTGAACGATATTTTGGAATCAACTCAATGACCGTGGAACAATAACTCGTAGTCAGCTCAATCAATAACTGTTGAACAATATTTTGGAATCAAATCAATGACCGTGAAACAATAACTCGTAGTCAGCTCAAGAACTGTTGAACGA